AAAAAAAAAAAAATGTTGTGTAAACTTTAGGAAATACATTGCTAAAACAATAAAATATGAGTTAAGAAAAAGCACAGTTATTAATCTTGTAAACACAAAAACATTAGTTGAAGCAACTTTTCTCCTAAACTTGAAATTATAAGTTATCCATCAGAACCTAAAAGTGTAAATGCAGTGGGTTGCCTTGAGTTTTTAAGTTTTCGCAACAATTTTATTTTTTTTTTTACAGTGTGTGACTGTATCGGAGCCAACAAAATCACAGTGCCATGTAAGAATGTTTTAATAATGTAAGGGTTAAGAGATGAAAACACCTGCTTATTTCTTTAAATGTCCATTTTAATATATAAATGACCTTCTGCCCAAAATCCACCCCTGGTTTTGTAATATTTTTGTTATTCCTGTGAAGCCTGACGTGTCCTTTAGAGTGAGACCGATGAACTGAATTGCATTGAACCTGGATGTTGTCTTACAATCGCAGCAGGGTTATTCAAGTTGCTGCCATTCAGTGTGATCACTGCCATTTGCTTTTGATTTTTTGTGTCTTTTTTTTTTTTTTTTTTTTGTCTATTAATCCAATTAAATCGTCTGTTAAGTATGGTGTTGACCATGAAGTAGGACAGGCTCCAGATAGACCAGAGGTCATCTGGATGTAGCCCCAAACAGAAAGTCACTATGAAAGCAACAAAGACAGCAATTATCAGGTGTCTCCCTTCATAAATGCAGGTGTGGCGTATAAAGGAGAAGAGCCAGAGACCAAAGGCAGTTGGCTGTGAGAGGAGGACCGATCACCAACCACTTACCAAATTTTCTTGAGCCATCAGGTGTATTTAATTCTGGCCCAGGGAAAGACGAACCATGGAATAGTGAAATCTCAATAGGTTATTCTTACTTTTAACCACCTGGGGGAGCTTGTCTGTATTTGCCTGTGGCTCTTGTGTTGAGCCCAAGGGGACATGACGATCCAGAGATTAACAAAGAAAAAAAATGATGCTGAGTTAATCAATAGAGAGACAGACAACCATTCAAACTCACATTCACACCTATGGGCAATATGAAAATCCCTAGTTAACCTAACCTCATTAATTGCATGTTTTTGGAGTACTTGGAGAGAACCTAAACATGGAGACAACATCAAATGGCAGACAAAAAGGCTCCAGGCAGATGGCGGATTTAAACCCAGATGTTTTTGCAATTAGCCAAAGGAATTCCTAATAATCACCAACCCAGCAAACAGACCCACGTGCCCAGAATGGGCAACAACAGGATGTTAACATGGAGAGAGAACAACAGAGCACATCTCAGTCCAAATGTGACAACCTATCGATTGGGCTACCTACACTAAGTAGAGAGGGACCCCCAGTGGAGCCCTGCAGTATACCCACAATAGGCCCACACTTAAGGCATGAGCTGACCTTTGACAAACAAAACGTAGTTTAACAAACATTCCCTTGAAAATGGTCAGTTACAAGGCCTGGGATCAAAATAAGTGATTAGTAGCCAATATCTAAATTAAAAAATAAACTGTGGATAACTATTTTTCTATTGTTTTTCTGTTCTCTTACTTTTCTTTATTAATGATCTCAAAACTGGTAGCTGGTGGTTTATTCTTACCTGAAGTGCCCCATTGGTAGAGTTCATGTTGAGCAACCTGTCTGCTTCTTACTTTCTCTTCTTCAGGTAACTCCCACTGGTGTCCTGTGGCAGCTGTGAACTGGATTAATGCTGTCTCTCCTGGTTTTTGAGTCATTCTCAGATACCCTGCAAGGAGTTAAGTTCCCTGCTAAGTAAGTATTACTTTTCAGTGACCTAGTTTACCAAAATTGTCTGGAAGAGATGGTATAAATTGCTTCTTTTCCCTAGAATACGTAATGAATGATATCCTTGGTTTTATTTGGGTGACAGAGAGCTGCTGATGCAAACAGATTTGCTTTGATCATTTTAAACTAATATTGGGAGAAATATTTTATATTTAAGAAAAGTGCCTTTAGGTGAGTTTGTGGAAACAAAATGTTGCATATCAAAAGTAAAAAAGTACCACTCTTACCTGTCTAATTTAATTTTTTTATTAATTTAGTCAAATATGCATTGCTTTGATCTGTATAAGTCACATCGATTACATTTTATTATTTATTGTTTGTTTACTATTTGTTTTGCTATTATTTGCTTTTATTACTTTTAATAGATGATGCCTTTAAATTGTAAATGATGTGGATGCATGTGCAGGAAGCTGGCTGTTTACCATGATGACAGAAACTTATCATATTCCAACCATCTTAATGTGGACAGAATAATTGTTAGTTGAGGAGCTGCAGCTGTCCGATGAATGCAGAGGTTTAAAGGACAATATTATTCCCTAAAATGGGAACAAAAGTCTACTTTATTGGGAAATTAAAGAGAAAAAATTATTAAGGATTACTGTGTGCTGCGGAGTATTGTTGATCAGCAGAATCCTGATCAATGTACTGTGACACACAATGTTGTTAGTAATGTACAGCCAAAGTATATCACAACAAAAGATCAGGCATCAAATATTACAGAATGGAGTATCTATCAAGGAGTATCTTCATACCTAATCTGGTTTCAGGTGTCTTCCATGGATCAGTTTTTCCACTTTCTGTTTTTTTTTGCAGGCTATCAGCATTCTTACCATTCTTTAAGGAAGCTGTCGAAACTTGTTGCAGGTTTTTTTTGTAATTCCACATAAAACGATCATGCTTAGTAAAAGTGAAGTGTATTGTGTGTGCAAGTTCCTTTTGAGATGCTCATTGATTGCACAGCTTTAAACAAACTAACCTGACAAACACTGAAGCTTAAAAACATCCATTGAAGGAAGTTGTATGTGCTCCTTAATAGTCACAATGTTAATTCAGCTTTTGTTAGAGCATTTTTAAATTTTGCTTTCACTCATTGTTTGCATAAATGACTGCTATGGTTGTTTTCTCAGATTTTATGATGATCTTAAATTACACAATAAAAAATAAATTAAGACTACAACAACCCTGTTTCTAAAACAGCAAAACTTTTCTGCTTCCTTCCAGTTTTTAACGACATTGAGGCTTCCAGGATGTTCTACCTGTGGATATGCTTGAGTCTGTTCTTTGCTCTACAAAGCACCGTATCATCAGATCAAGGTAATTATACAATGTGTGTATCAAAAATAGCATTGCTATTCATGTAAATGCATTAGAAAGAAGAAATATAATAATATCATTTGGTGCTTTTTTGCTTTCAGCTGTGTCAGTGAATTGCAGCAAGACTGCAGAAGTTGGACAAAGTGTGACTCTAAATTGTACCATAAATTGGAAAGATGGCTCAAACTGTAGAGTTTTGGATATATATACCATGGAGAACAAAAGTGAGCGCATACAATGTAACAGCAGTTTGACAAAACACATCTGTAAAGGGGATCGTCTGAAGTATGTGTCAGTGACCGTCCCAAGTGTCACGAAAGAGGTGAACGTTACAGTTGAAATCAATTCAGGCTGTGGTATGGCTGAATCCCATCCTGTACAACTATTCCCTACTGCAGGTTAGTAAGTTTCAGTAATATCATCAGAAATATACAGTACTGTGCAAAAGCTTTAGGCAGGTGAGAAAAAAGGTTGTAAACAGAGAATGCTTTCAAAAATGGAAAAGTTAATAATTGATTTTTGTCAATCAACAAAATGCAGTGAATGAACAAAAGAGAAATCTCAGTCAAATCAATATTTGGTGTGACCACCCTTTGCCTTCAAAACGTCATCAATTCTTCCTAAGAGCTAAAAGATAAGATAAGAGGAGCCTTTGTTAGTCCCACACGTGGGAAACTAACCTTCTTCTGTGGACGTAGGCTTCCTCACATCCATCCAGACACACACAATGATGTTAAAATCAGAGCTCTGTGGGGGCCATACCATCGTTTGGGGTCGTTGTCCTGCTGCACAATACATTTGGGGCCAATAAACAATGATTTATATTTCTGAAATCATTCTTTGTTTACAACCTTTTTTTTAACACCTACCTAAAACTTTTGCACAGTACTGTACATTTACAAGAAATACGTCTGTGAATTAATATTTTGTATTTCATGCTCATGTTAACTGTACTTTAATAAATGTACTTTACTAGGAAATGGACAAGGAATGCAGGAGAGGTCACATGTGATGGCCGTCGTACTCTGTGTTTTTCCCACAGCCGTGTCCATTTTCTCTCTATAGAAGTCACAGACACACAGAAATGTAAGTGACACAGATTCTGCGCTGGGAATTAAAGACTGATTGTGGTGTTATGTGGCATGTATTTGTTGTTTATGAATGTGGATCCACCTGCTTCCCAAAAACATTACTCGATAGGTTTATACAAACAACAACAACGAGCACAGCTGCAGCTGAATATTGTCTTCTGTGCTCCTGAGAGGAGCTTTGTTACAGAAATACTGTTTACTTTCATTCAGTGATGTGTGAACACTGCCTCTGTACAGCATTTATACTGTCAAAATGTACACAAGCCTACAATGTCTCCAGTTCATGGTGGGATAGTGTGACCACAATAAATTCTAAATATTGTATAATCTGTTTGTTTGTTTGTTTGTTTTTGGAGGGTATTTTATATTTGATTACTTGTGGAATAAAACCTGAAAATCTCTCTGCTATGTCCCACCACCACATTACAATCTACTATCTACAAACTGCACCTTGACTAGTGTACAAAGAAATCTAATTGTGTTACTGTAATGTGGCCAGCTGGAAACAGACCCTGATGATGTCACTAGGGTCATTTCAGCTGTGTCTGGAAAACCTGTGCTGCGATCTTGCTGGCTGTTTTACAAAGATCATAGCCACTCCTTAAGCAAGAGGAAATTATGAGATGTCAGATAAATAGTCAATTTTCAGTCTGCTTGGACAACCACATATTTGATTCTGGCCCAGTGTACGACAACAGATAATTCTTCCATTCAGCCAAGGGGGGAAGTTGTCTGGATTTGAGGAACTGGTCAAAAACACAACTCCGTTTGAAGCTGAGCTGACGGCACATGTGTCAAAAGAAAATCAAGACATATTAAGAGACAGAGTCAGCGAGGAAAAAACAAACAAACCTTATTTTATGTTTTTATTTTACTAGTTAATAAGCAAGTGTACCCCTGGGTCCAAAACATACATACAAATACACTATACATAAGAGTTAGAATATAATATATATAAATGCACAAGTCCACAAATTAATTACATAATCACGTTGAGGCAGTTACCTACCAGCAGAAGCATAGTCCAACCTGTTATAAGACTGTGATATGTCGTTATATATGATGTCATTTTTATCTGTTGTGTTTACAAACGTCAGGAAGTCACAAGCAAAGTCAGGCTGATGTCACATTATGTCACATGATATTAAATATAGGCTGGCAAATCAGCATCTCTCGAGTGAGCAATCATAATACAGCAGTTCCTTTTCATTTGTGGATTAAAGCTGCTGTTCATATTTGTGGCCACCAAATGTCACCAAAGAAGCATGTGTTGAAAAGCTTCAGTAGTGAACCCTTTTTCAATACATGAGCCGGTGCTGCAGAAAGCTTCGTTTGGCCATTACCGACTCCTCACAATAAGAAACAAAACGCCACAAAAGTTCATACCAGGCTTCACTGCTACAGTAAAGAATAACCCTTCCTTATAAAGCAGCCAAGTCATCAGGAACAGGTGTGCGATTCACACAAGGTGTGTGGAGACCAGTTTCTAGTTTCTAGTTAACTGACGAGGATGGAAAGAGAGAGGACAAGAGGTTGTGGAAGAACAGAAAGAACAAGTGATGTGAAAAAAAACATTGTTTAATAAAACAAGAGTTTGTACAGTATGAATTCAGAAACTTTAATATAAACCAACTCTATTACCAGTTTACTTCGTGTACAGGTATACTGAATGGCAGCCTGAGCTTCTAGTGTCTGTACTGATTAATGCTACTTTAAGTGCTCAATGATTTGTATGTGATTCTGTGTAAATATGAGACTGAACTCATCTGATCTGCTTTGCCACAAATAGTTCTTTACCTTGAGCCCTTGCCTTGGGTATGGTAACTAAAGGCTCCACCCTGAAAAGGGTGGATGAGATTGAAATGTCTGATTATTCACTCTGAATTATTCTTAGACACTACAATAGGTCATCCAACTGATTAGGTTGCTTTTCAAGATATAATGTTTATTCAGTTGAGTTGAGGTTTGATGATGAGGCTGATTACATTTGCAAACAGCATATTTCATTAATATAAATTACAAGGCACTGCATGCATAAAGGTTTCAACTTAGAATCTCCCCTGCTGTCATATATTTGTCATGTGAAGCTCTAAAAAGTCTGAACCTCTCTGAAGCAAGAGCTGTCTCATTTCAGTGTAGACACTCTGATGATGCTGAAGTTGATGTAGCTGCCATTATGTCGCCCATTTGTTTTGGGTTTTTAGCTTCAGTGCTACCTCCATGGCCCGCATAAATATTTAGAGGCGAGGCTAGAATGTATGTCAGGAGCTAACATTCGCAAGTACCCCGAGGAAATGCAGTTTCCCCTTTCATTTCTTGAGTTTGCGTCTTGGTTAGCATGAGCTTGCTCAAATGCAGAATCAAAATAAGTAGTTACCTGGTACAAAAAGGTGTTTTTAGCATCTGGCTTCCACTACAACTCAACAACATTAGTGCTGCTGATATTTACTTGTTTGTGATTTTGTGGACGACTTCCTGTCATTAAACTGGCAAACGAATGAGATTAAGTTCCTTCAGAGGGTGTTCAGCACAGATTTAGATCACACATTAGATTGTTGATGTGATTGGCACTCTGTCAGTAAAAGTGAACTGAATCGAAATAGTTTGGCTCAGCATCAGCGCTGCAGTCATGAGTAAACGTTTCTGTTCTCTCTGTGAGATTTCTTATGCAACACCTGCCAAACTCTTGGCACCTAGTTCACTCTTAAAAAGAAGAGGAATGTAAAACCTGCTGCAGGGAGCTCTGTGAGGATTTAAATGACAAGCCGGCAACAAGGCTTGATGACTTCCTGGAGTTTTTTATCACCTTTACCCAGAAAACTAACAGTTGTGAGGTTCCGCACACATTAGCTTCAGCTGCTGGTTTTTGTTTTTGTTTTGTTTTTTTTACATCAGTCATGTAGATCTATCATGTAGGGTTGTGCACATGAGTCATCCTGCAAGAAAATGGTAATGTTAAATAAAAACCTTTGTGAATAATAAAAGGATACATTTGAGTTTTGTATAATCTGTTCAAAGTGGTTTCTGTTTTACACATGCAGTGAATGGTGGTGCATTGTTTAGTGCTGGCACTTTTTCTGCAGAGTTTGTGAACAGGTCAGAGCTGTTGTTTGTTACGGTTCTTTGTTCTCCCTGTGCCTGTGTGGCATTTCCCCCCAGCACTCTGGTATCCTCCAAAGGCATGTTTGGCAGTTTAACTTGTGATTCTAAACTGGTTATGGGCATGTTTGTGGGGGTGTATGGTTGTCTTTAACTCTATGTCAGCTTCGCGCTTTATTGAGAGGATAAACGGTCAAAAATGAATACACTACCAGTCAAACTTTCTCATTTAATGGTTCTTCTTTATTTGTACTACTTTCTACATTGTAGATACATACTGAAGACATTAAATATAGAGAGCAGGATATATGGAATTATGCAGCAAAGCAAAAATACTGATAAATAACTCTGAATATACCTTATATTTTAGATTCTTGAAAGCAGCCAACCCTTTGCTTTGTTGACGGCGCTGCAAACCCTTGGCCTTCTTTCAGTGAGGTTTGTGATGTAGTCAACTGAAATGGTTTTCACTTCACATGTGTGCCTTCTCATTGTGAGACCATCAGATGTGTTGTGCAGAAGTCAGGTTGGTACACAGCTGACAGCCCTATTTGACAGCAATTAGAATTCATATTACGGCAAGAACCAATCAACTAAGTAAAGAGAAACAACAGTCTGACTGCTTGCTCATAGGGGGTCATGTGATTGTTGGGTTTTTCTCTGTATGTTTTATTGTAGGGTCTCTGCCTTGCAACATAAATCACCTTGAGGTGACTGTTGCTGTGATTTGTTTCTGGATAAATAGAATTGAATCATTAGTTTAAGAACTGAAGCTCGGTGAGTCTGGAAAATTGCTAAAACTTTGAATGTGTTCTCAAGTGCAGTGGCGAAAAACCATTAAGCGCTGTGACAAAGATTAGGGCCCAGATAAATGCCACACAGAGTTCCAGGAGCAGACATTTATTTACATCAACTGATCAGAAGAAACTGTGCGAATCAGATCTTTATGGTCTAAAACCACTGATAAGAAACCGTTGTTAAGGAAAAGCAACAAGTAGAACAGATTTGTTTGGGCCAGGAAACACAAGGAATGAGGAAACCTATTTCAGCTGACGACCTCATGAAGCTCATCGAGAGAATGCCAAGAATGTGCAAAGCAGTGATCAAAGCAAAGGTTGGACATTTTGAAGAATCTAAAGCATAAAACATGTTTTGAGGTATTTCACACTTTTTTATTTACTACATAATTCCACATGTGTTCATTCATAGTTTTGATGGCTTCAGTGAGAGTCTACAATGTAAACAGTCATGAAAGTAAAGATAAACCATTAAAGGAAAGTCCAAACTTTTGACTGGTAGTGTACACATGAAGGTATGAAGAAAACTCAAAGCAAAAATGTGTGACAGCTAAGTCTGAATGAGTTCCCTCTTTTACCTTTAAATTAACTAATGAATTAAAGTGAATGGGTGGCACAGTGGTTAGCACTGTTGTTACGAAGCAAGAAGGTCCTGAGTTCAATTCCTTTCTGTGTGGAGTTTGTGTCTCTCTGGGTACTCCGGCTTCCTCCCACCGTCCAAAGACATGCGACCCCTGTGACCCTGAAAAGGACATGGATGGATGGATGGATTAAACTGGCATTAGCAATAAAAACAAGACTACAACTTATGTTTAATACTAATTTGTATTATATGCTGATTAAAAAAGATAATATATGAAAACAAAAGAATGAAACTAATGACAGCATTCTCATTAGAAAGCATTGTCTTTAACCTTTGCTTATTTCTTTTATTCTTACCTGAAATGCCTCACAACTAGTTTTTGAATTCAATCTGTTTTTTAATCTACCAACCAAACTTTTAGTAAAATCTAAAAAATCATTTCAAGCCAGTGTTATTCACTGACGAAGAAAAAAAGCATTTAGATCCAGTTCATTTGTTCTCTCATAAATGGAAAAAGTGTCACCTTAGACCCTGTTTTAAGGAATGTGTTTGCCTCTTGTTCTCCATTCTTCTTTGCCAATCAGTCTTTTAATCTCTGCAGGCAGTTTCATTTCACCTGCAAGTGAAACTCCCCCAGGTATCATGTGTCACCTCGACTGGATAATCAAATCTGCCCCGATTTTTTACGACTCATTCACAAATGTTCTCCAAAGAGAGACGTTCTCTACCAAGTAAGTATTAATCCTTCTTTTATGTATTTTAACTAATTCTTCATGCAAATAGCTGGTAATTGTTAACAGTCTCTTTTTCTTTCAAAGAGGTTAATAAATCATATGCATCTTTTTATCAGGGTAATCAAGTCATTTAAATGTAAATAATGTTGCTTAGAAAACCTTCAACAAGTTGCTCACATAGTAAAAGTTACTTCTTTACTTAATGCATAAAGAAATTTACAAAAGCAAAATTTTGACTAACAAAAATAAAAAGTGCTCATTATGTAAAAAGGCTCATTTGTGGTATCTACATTTTTATTACTATATCTATCTATATTTTAAAAAAAAAGTGAATACAACAATTAATTCATTTTATTAGTTTAAACAAAAGTTATCATATTTTGTGATTTACAGTTTCTCAACCTTACTACTAAATGCTTTCCTCTGTTTTTCTTTCTGCATCTGACAAGCTGTAATTTATAGGCAATCTATGCCACTTGTAGCTGGAAGCTAACAGGTAACACGAGTTTCCAGGCAAAAATGTGAAAGAAGAATGTTAATAAGGAAGTAGTAGAATAACTGCAGCATGAATGCAGAAGCATAAAGTGTTAGAATATGAATCTGCTTTTATTGGGGAAACCACGAAAAATGCTTCTTGGGTGCTTTTCACTTTCATCCAAGAGACTGTTTAACAATATTTAGTCATCCTAATCTGTGGAGTCTTACAGAATACAGAAGAATGTACCAAATACATATGCTCCGAAGCACATAAAATGTGACAGTAAAAAAAAGAGGTGGGATTATTCCAAACAGTCCATTTTGTCCGTTAACACCTGTAAAGTTTTCTGTTTTAAGTCTGCAAAGCTATGACTCTGGTCTCAGCAGTGCCACACGACTCGATGATGGCACATGACCTACAGAAGCTCCTGTTTGATCCAACATTCTTTGGAGCTGTTCAAACTTGTCAATCTCGCAATTGTTTGGTTTTCACAGCAAACTAAAGTAGGAAGCGTGACTCCACATGTGACAGAAGATACAATGTGTGTAACACTGCTGATATGTCTGTTTATGTCTTAATAGAACTATTATAATCATATGTTACTGCCTCTGCTGTTTTTCTTGCATTCTCAAATGATAGAAATTTAAATGAATTTTTAGGTATAAGCAATTTTTACTTTATGTTTAATGTGTCAAAAAGAACATGTTTCTTGTGTTTTCTAAAACAGCATGACTTTATGTGAACCTGCAGTAATCACTTTGTTCTTTCCAGCCGTTTGGGGTGAGGTGAAGCCTCCAGGATGTTGTACTTGTTGACATGTTTGAGTTTGTTCTGTGCTCTACAAAGAAGTGTTTCATCAGATGAAGGTATTTCTATACTGCTTGTACCAGATATGTTACTAATAGACATGACTGCTCTAAAGGAAGAAGAAATTGAACATCAAATATTTCCTTTCTTTCAGCGGTGTCACTTAATTGCAAAAACACTGTCAGCGTTACAGCTGGAAAAAATGTGACTCTAAATTGTTCCATAACTTCGACTTTTGGAGGGAAAGTGTGTACTGGTCAAAAGTATGACTGGCGTAACACAAATGGCAACAAACTATGTGAAACCGATGCCACAAAATACACCTGTGCATGGGATGCCCTTACCTATGTGTCACTGACCATCTCAAATGTCCAAGAAGAGGCAAATGTCACAGCTGACATCGTGTCAGACTGTGGAATGGTGAAATCACTTCCTATCAGAGTACGGCTAATCAGTGGTGAGTGTATGTTTAGTTCAGATATCCAGAATAAATTGTTTTCATTGCCACTGTTAAAATAACTGCAATTTACTATCCAGATCCAAAAACAGACCAACCAACAACACCACCAGATAACGGTAAGCTGAAAGACAACGACTTAACCATTGTACATTGTTACATATTGTAACAAATTTTATTCAGTTAGAATAACTGTATTCCACTTCCACACGTGAATCAGGTCCAAGAACAGAACGCAGTGGGCAGCAGGAGGAGTCAACACACGTGACCACCATTGTACTTTGTGTTTTTGCCTCTGCTGTAGTTGTGTTCATTTTGTATTTCCTGTATAGAACTTACAGACGCAGAGTAAGAGAGAGGACAGTGACATACACTGCACCAGTCAGTAAAGACTTCACGGTTGTTTAAAAATGTATTGTTTCTTTGTATGATTGTTTATGAGTGCGAGGGGAATATGAATGTATATGAATGTATGTGACATATTTTCTATTTGTAAAAGATGCTGCTCATCACTGCTGACTCTTTGATCATCATATTGTTTGTTTGTTTTTTTATTGGCTTTTTTATTTTTAGTCATTTTTAGACTTCTTTGATGTCTTATATACAGTAACAATAACAGGATGTGAATAACAGAGCGTTCACGTGACTTTCAGTCTGCTCAGTAAAATGAAACAATTATGGGGAAACGTGGGAATGTTCCTGTCTAACGGATAAAGATTTAAGAACATTTGGGACTGAACCTGTTATGTGTCTGATGAATGTCTACAGATTAGTCACAGCTCTGACTATTCATTGTGCGAACATCAGGTCAATTTTGTTTACTTATCATCCACGATCTAATCATGGGGAAATGATCCAAAGTTGGATTACTTTGTAAATCCACTGATGTTTCTGTACCTTGACTTCTTTACATAATTGTGACCACAGCTCACAGTAAAAATCATCCAACTGTTACTTTAGGCTGTGATGGATGAATGAATGGATAGATGGGACTCTTGTGGACTGTGGATAATGCATTTCCCTGTTCCACACATGGATTTTTGCCACCTGTGTAGCATTACTATATGTTAACTCAAGTAAACTCAAAGACTGTGGCAAGACAGTCCGTCCACATCATTACATCATTACAGTGCTGCTGTTTTTGTTGCACATTGGTTGGCACATTATCAGACATATACTTCCTTCAGAAATGACAGAGAGCAAAAAAAGAGCAAAAGGAAGATTGACTGGTAATATTTTTCCAGGCCTACGTGTAAACCACTGTTTGTTAAGATGTTAGCCCAAAATTAAATGTCAGTGTTGTGTTTATAGATGTTTACAGCTAACGCCTAATACTGGAGTTAAAAGAGTCACTTGTCACTACAAAATAACTGTAAATGTAATAACTGTGTAAAATTGAACAGTGTTTTGTTCAAAATACACTCAACTTGTAACAAGTCTTTCAAACAAATGTGTCATGGTTTTTTTTTTTCATACCATTTGAAACTATTCAAGCCTCCTTAAATGACCCATACGAACATTTCACCCTGAAAGGATTAAAGAGAATCTGTGTTCGGTGAACCTTTAGGTCAAGTGACATAAAAAAAAAAACATTTCATGTAGTTTCAAAAGACAGTGAAGCTTATATGATCGACTCAAACATATCCACAGGTAGAACACCTGGAACCACTGGAACCATCATCTTTTCTATTATCCCTTCACTTTCAAGCCTCAGCAGTTACTTTTTCACAAGAGGCATGAAAGGTTTAGGTACTCATCTGACTGCGTGAACTGCATATGGCTGTGCAACTTGTTTAAGAATTATTTTAACTGGTTCAGTACTGATGTTTTCCACTCGTTTCACTAAACCTATGTTTACAGCTTCAGGTCTGCTGAGTAAACTGCTACTTTGCCCTTTGATAACATTATAGACTTTAGGAAGTGTATTAAAAGTTTCTTCACTTCTAACAGTCACATATGGTCCAGTATCTATTTTTAATGTCAGAGGAACATCATCAATGTTCATGGTGACAGTTCACTTATCCTGGCTATTTTTTTTAATTTTTTTTTTGCTGTTTTTGAAGTAACTTCATGCATGAGAATATCACCGGGTTAACACGAGACATTATTTTATGTATACTGTTGGCCAAGCACAATAAAAATGACCGTATTTAAATTAACTTTGCAAATGTCACAGATGAAATATTTGGGGTTTTATTTCCTGGACTGAACCACTGTACTTGCTGTCATTGCTGAACATCTGCCCCCCTTCCTTTTCTCACATAACTGTATGAGCCCAGTCTATCACTGCATCTGATTGGCCGAATGGTGTGCCATTCAAAATAAAGTCAAAATAAAGTCAAGCAGGGCTGATGGTTATTAATAACTGAAATTACCTCACAGACCAGATGTGGCTCACGGGCTGTATGTTTGACACCACTGATCTAATTTGCCCTGTTTGTTATGACTCATTTTCAAATGTTCTCCAAAGAGTGAAGTTCGCTACCAAGTATTACTGCTTCTTTTACATTGTCAATGGAAAATTGCATTTAGTAGTCAGTATAATCTTTTAATGATATAAGTTTGAATATGGTAGAATACTGCATGTAATCATTTGTGTTTAGAAGTATATAGTTGGTGGCATATTGAAAGAATGTCTCATCCTAGGAGGTCTGTAACATTCCAGGGTGTTCTGGCGTTCACCCCCACATCCTAGGAGCATGGGAGAGGTCGTACCTTGTCTTATTGTTTTACGGTAGGATTAACGTAGCTATATCTGTCTTAGTCTAGGTGCCTTTTGGTTTGATGAACTGCTGGACTTCGAGACCAGCAGGTGTAGGGAAGTCATTTATGAGGTCACACTCTGACCCCCCCACACACACACACACGCACACACACGTACACCTCCACATTTCAATGTATGGAACAAATGCTCACTGAAGCATATAAATAAAGATCAGGGCAGTCTCAGGGCTTAGTCTCTGAGTCTCACTCTTGGAGTGTGAGTTCTGGAGGCTGCCCTTGCTAGCAAGAAAATCTGTGTGTTTCTCCTCTCTGATCCTCTGCTGAAGAAGTGTTTTAGAATATATCTCTTAACATACATATTTTAACTAAATTCTCTTCATGCTAGTGTTATTTGGCTTTTCATTCCTTGACAAAGTCATGAAACATATGCATGTTTTTATATGCAATGCAAGTCTAATAATGCAAATAGATTTGTTTAGATAACCTAAATTGCTCACAAAGTTTTATTTAAGAAAAGTAAGTTTACAAAAGCAAAATGCTGAGTATCAAAATTAAAAGTTCTTATTATGTAAAGAGACGAACTAATTTAAACAAAATTCATTACATTTTGTTATTTAGTATTTCTTACAATAACTACTAAACCTTTTGCCCTGTTTTTGCACAATATGTGATTAGATGTCACATTTACAGGCATTCTCTTTTATCTGGAAACTGACCGGTTATTCTGGCAATAAAAAATCTGTTAATTACAAATCCTCTGAGGACTGTTACACAATAACATATTTATGGGCAGAGATAAAGGAGAATTCTGCTACGTAAAGTCTATAAAATGTTACACTAAAGGAGAGCAGTGACGTTATTGTTATTGAAGTTATCTATGTACTTGTGCTGAAATGTGGGAAAAACTCAAATGAGCAGAAAGCTTGCATGCTATCTTTGCACTTAACTGTTTCTAGTATTTCTCTCTGCTGTTTCTTTTGCACTCTCAAATGTGAGAAACGTTTAAATCTGTATTTTCAGTAATCAGTATGCAGTATACTTGCAGACTACGACTCAAAGAAACATGAACTAAATTTAGCACAAAGGACATTTGTGTTTGGCCAATTATGTCTTTGTTGTAACAACGCTTAATGCCAATCAATCTTATTGGCATATCCCTGTAGCAGGATCCTTGCTCGGCTGGTGTCCGCTCCAAATATGCCATGTTTCACTGATCTGAATAGGGTCTGTGCTATAGGGCAACTTCAAGCTGGCAAGTTGCAGCATTACTTGGATTGAGCCCTCATAGCATCTCCAAACTGAAACTAAGTTCTACATAACAGGTTATATCAGAGACAAGGCTGCAAAGTGGGCAACCCAAGAAAATGACACCATTTCCTCAACCCGTCATCACTTATGAACCATAGGCAAGATTTAGCCGACAGCTTTGGACACAGACAGTCCAGAACCATCTGCTCATAGCCAGTGTCCAGCCTCATTAGGCTTGTCATGATTCTCGGTCAGACCTGTTTGCGCTGGTGTCAGCAACATGTGCACTTTAACCTGATTATGCAGAGGAACATTATGTTTAGCGATGTGTATTTGCGAGTGGAGAGGATGGCATGGCCTGCCTGCAGACTTGACCTTTTGAACACTTGTGGGATCAGCCTGGGCGTGCCGTTCATATCAGAGTGACCAACTCAACCACACTGGCTGACTTGCAACGAATGCTTGTTGAAGAATGGGAGTTTGTGACCAAGGTTGTGAAGAAGAGGTGCAAGGCTGTTGTGGCTGTGTTTGGTTCTTTCATATAAACAGGGTTCAATTGCCAGTATGTCGTGTTTCTTCAGACTTATCATTGGTGGAGAAGATCCACCAA